TGACTCTAGAACCGGTACGTCTCGCTAAGAACACCGACGGCTTTGGGTTGACCAAGAACGACCACATTACGATCACCCGCAACAAAATTTACAACCAGGACGACTGTCTCGCCATGCAGTCCAGTACCAACACAGTCTTCAGCTACAACTATTGCTGCGGTAGCCACGGTATCTCGGTTGGCTCTCTCGGTGGCAACAGCGTCGACCAGTCCACTACGGTTCAGGGTCTCACAGTCGAAGGAAACACAATCGTAGATAGCACCAACGGTCTTCGTATCAAGACTATCATCGGTCTTAAGGGTCTCGTATCGGACGTCAAGTACGTCGACAATGAGCTCTCGAACGTCAAGAACGCCATCGTCATCCGCTCGGATTACAGCAAGGCCAAGGGTGGATACACTGGTGCCCCCACAAGTCAAGTGCAGATCACTGGGGTCAAGGTTGCTGGCCTTACCGGCTCAGCTAGTAACCTGTATGACATCAAGACGAACCCCAAGGTCGTGTCGGACTGGACATTCACGGATATTGATGTGAGCGCTTCACTCAAGGGTACGCTCGCCGGAATGCCAAACAACCTTGCCGTTTAACTACACCTATCATTAAAGGCCATGAGTCGTAACCGTAACCCAATAGTCGACAGTAGACATATTGAGCAGGGATATTGAGTCAATTCAACAAATTTGATGTATGCTTCAGTCATATGACTCATAGCGTTGGTCCACCACTTTGGTGATCTCTCCATTTGTATACGTACTACTTTATGCTGACAATGTAGTAATAGGACGAAATATTAGTGTTTTAGACTACGAACGTCGAATACGAAGACAAATGTAATGCTACATTTACACTGTTAACGTATTATAGCGAATACAGTGTAGTGCTCTCCTAGCGAATAAAACGCCCTCCTAATTGAGCGCTCTGTCTGAGAGCGTTTTATAGAAAGATAACGCCATGCGCTGCCGTGGACATTCTATCATCTTTATTTCAACTTTTTTAAGCCAATCGTATCGGAAAGTACCCACATTTCTTGATTGCTACCATTTAACTAGGATCATTTTCAGTTTTGCTGTCATGCCGCCACAACGTATTCCATCACGTGCTGAAAAGCACTTTCGTCAGTTGGGTTGGCCTATAAGCGCATCATGCTTGGTGGCGGGACCGAGAGCGAATTCGCGCCGAAGTTTCATCTCGCTGTCGCATCATCGGTGGTGCTGGCAAGCCACTGCTCGGGACTATCGAGCTCATCGAGCTAACCTACGACAAGAGATTAAAGAAAGGGAGCTACGTAAAATGACAACAGAGCGAAGAGACTTACAGTTTTAGCGCGGAGAATTAAAGGGTTTGATGAGGTTTGAACCCGCGACAACCGTGCTCCCCAAATCCAATGGGGCTGTCTTAACCACCTGAGCTGTCAGCGCTTACCAAAAAATACAACGCCATTGAATACAACACGGTAATTCCTATAGACCGCGCTCTATAATAATTGTACAGTAGACGGCGTTACCTATCGTTGAAGTATCGGTACAGTACTGATAAACAACTTGGTCAACGTTCGCCACAAATAGCTACATGTACTGTGCAGTTTATCGATGATTATGCGCAAGACCACTATAAACTCAGCTATTTTTTTAAATTCACTGTGGCTCCTTAAAAAAGCATTATCAATTCCGTTCGTGGGTTTGCCATGCACAGATCGGCATGTATTACGAGTCGTAAACCTACGTACACGCGTAATTTACGAGGCAAATGTATCCCGCAAAGACTTTTAACAAGCCGTCGATAGCGATTATGCTCGTTTCCTGAAAACCATATGCTTTACTACGATTCGTCACGTTATGAACTACATGTACCGGTACAGTACATGTTTAAGAGCAGTACTGGTACATGTATCGGTATTTTTGATAATACTACTGTAGTAGTACCGATTCGGTACAGCATTTTCTTGGTGTTGTTGAACAACTTGTTCGGGCCACATGTACAGTATTCCGTACTTATATCAATGGTACATGTAGAAAGTGGCTACCGGTACTGTACGACTTTGTCTATAATGAGCTGTCAATCTTACTGATAAGCATTTATACTGAAACAGAATTCTGTAATCTTTGTGGTTGGACTTCAAAGGTGGGTGTATCGACTACCCGTCGTCCTTCATACTAACGATCCATTGTTCCTAATGGATAGACCAGCGAATCGCTGAGCGATTGCTCGAGCAAAAAAAATGATGGGGCTGACCCAACGTTAACCTGAGAGCGCACACCAGGAAATCCTTACCACCCAGCCCCCTATCTCAAACCCCTCACTTCCCAATTTGCCTTCAATTCAGCACTTTCCCCCCTACCCGCCAAAACACAACCATGAAGCTCACGCACGCTGCTCTCACTGCCTTCGCACTCATCGCTGCCACCGTCAATGGCTCACCCATGTTGCGTGAAGAAGCAGAAGGTAACAACAACCCAGTTCAGCAACAGCAAGGCACCAGCACGTGCAACCTCACCGGCACGTACAAGAAGGGCACCGACATCTCGCAATGCAGCACCATCACCGTTGGCTCTCTCAGTGTCCCTGCCGGTGTGACGCTGGATCTCAGCCGAGCCAAGAACGGCGCTACCATTCAATTTACTGGCACGACCACTTTCGGAACGCTCAAGTGGAACGGCCCTCTTGTTACACTGAGTGGAACGGACGTCACCGTGAAGGGCAACGGTAAACTTGATGGACAGGGAGCCTGGTACTGGAAGCAGGGCCAACAAACTACCCGTCCGGTGTTCTTCCAGGCGCACAAGGTCATTCACTCGACGATCTCGGGCTTTACGATCTTGAATGCGCCGTACCGCACGTTCAGCATCGTTGCCTCGATGTACACGACTCTCGCGGGCCTGACACTCGACTCCAGGGCTGGTAACGGCATTGCCACGAACACGGACGGCTTCGATCTGAGCTGCAAAGACCACATTACCATCACAGGCAACACGATCTACAACCAGGACGACTGTCTCGCCATGCAGTCGAGTACCAACACGTTCTTTACGAACAACCACTGCTACAACAGCCCTGAGATTAGTCCTGAGGATGATCCGTTTTCCGATAGAAAAAGGTCCCGAGACCAGAAGCGTATTCTATGCAATCGGTTGTAGATAGAAGCAGGAGCGGTATTCATTCGGCTTTCTGCAGAGTATTGCAACTCGGGTGCTCCAGAGATGGCCACGGCGGGTGCTTCGATAGCAAGCGAGCACATTTCCGGCCGCAGCAATTGCCGGACGTGGTCAAAGTGTACATCACGGAGAAGTACAATGGGCTCGCAGAGCCTCCGAATCAGTGACTACAGGAAACGACTGGACGCCAACACCAGCAACACCAGTTCGCGTTCCAAGAACGCAGGTCTGTATCCGCATCGTCGCCAACGGTCCAGTTACTTAGGCGTATTGCCGAAGTCTCCGAGGCTGAACGGCGTGAACAAGTTCGTGTATTTGCATCCAAGTTCGATATGGTGCCTCCCCCTCCAGTGATCAAGGCGACACAATTGATGCTGCGGCCGCTAAATTCCTGTCAGATCTCGCTAGCCGCTCACAGCTATCGCTACCGGCCTTTGTTCGACTAGTGCG